AGTCCCAATAGTTCATTTTTGCCCTTGCTTCCCTTGCCTTTGGCGATGTTTCTAGGAAGAAGTTGCTTCGGCTGAGGTCAAAGAGGTTGCTGCCGAAAAACTGCTAATCTAATCAATCAATGTTCAATGTGTTCACTGGGCCCGTCTTACTAGTGGGCGGGTTACTGTGCCTTAAACATCGGCACCTTCATTGTCGCTCTGCCCCACGCTCTGCCCCCCTGCAGGTGGTCAGTTAGGCAGTTCTGTAGGCCCCTAAAGCATAGCTGGACCTCCTAAGCCTGTCCCATTTGCTCTAGGGCAGCTTCCTAGAGTATTTTTATTACAGTTGTATGATGATTCCCATTTCTTTGTGTGTACTCTTCCCTAAGAACCTCTCTAATCACAGAACAGGATATGGACATTCACAGGTTCTTGTTCCTAACTCTCTCCTAACACCACTGAAACTTAAGTTTCGCCTCTCCCGCCATGTTTCTCAAGGTGTGGTCCACCTACATTCTGGTGGATCCAGGAGGTACTTGAAAATACAGATTCCTGAGGCCCACTCAGGATCTGTATAGTCGGAATCTTTGAGGTGGATGCCTGGGAACATGCATTTTAATACACTCCTCCAGGTGATTCTTCTGCAGGTGGTCCTGTGAGTTTACAGACACCCTTTTGTAAAGCCCCACAAAAGATGAAACGATCCAGCCTGGCCTCACCTGTGCCTTAGCAAATTCAGGGAGGAGGCTGCACTTGGGCCCGAGCTTTAAAATGAAAACAGCAACCCCTCCAAACCCACCCCTAGCAAAAAGCCAGCCACGCAGGCAATGACACTTAGGGAGAGGCCTCCAAGAATCAGAAATAATAAGGGTCAAGGTTCAGGGCACTGAGGTTCAGCTGCCCTTCCTTTCAATGTTGGGGAGGAGAGTTTTAGTCTATTAAAGGTGACACTTCAAGCATTTCTTCTTCTGCAGATTTCATCTTGCACAGATATATCCCTGTTGAAAAGACATTCTTTTCCATTCAATCTCTCTGCTAATGTTGCCCTCTCCTCTCCTTGCTCAAAAATATAACACAGGAGTTTTTCCATTTTAACCATTTATTACCCATCTCACTGGTAGACATTAGCTTTTGAAAACAACTAGGAGTACTCGGTAAAATTCAGCTCCTAAAAATTAATTAAATATTGATTTTTCAAACTTTCTCATTAAGATTTACGGCCAGGGCTTCAAGAAACTCTTGCAAGCAAAATAATTGAGGGCAGTAACTCCTAGCTAAGCCCCAATTTCAGTAATTATGTTCTCTCTCTCTAATTCCCCTTGTAATTTTAGCAAATTAGGCCTGGACAAAGGAGAAGAGACTCCAGGAAAAAATATTTTCTGAAATGCATTTTAGTTATTTAACTTAAAGGGATTCATTTATTTTTTTAAATTTTATTTATTTATTTATTTGCTTATTATTTTTTAATCTCTACATCCAATGTGGGGCTCGAACTCACAACCGCAAGATCAAGAGTCACATGTTCCACCGACTGAGCCAACCAGGCACCCCATAAAGGGATTAGTTTATTCTCATTTCATTTGGTATCCCAAAAGATGGAACAGAATTTCTGGCAACCCATAAGTAGAATCTGACAAAGGAAACCCTTAAAATTTGGGGACTTCTGGCAGAATCACTTCAATGATCAATTGTATGTTTATGTAATACCGTTATTTTGAAAGGCAAAATTTAAGGAAAGAATTGTATTTTTGTTGCTTTTATCCTGGGGTGTGTGTGTGTGTGTGTGTGTGTGTGTGTGTGTAGCAGTAAATATAATAGATACAATTGTTATAAAGTTGTAAAGTCTGCATCTCCAGGGCTT